CAGTCTACCAAAATGATCTACTTCACATTGGTATATTTTATGTTCTACCCTACCAGAATTATTTATTTCACATTGGTATATTTTATATTCCAACCTACCAGAATGATCTATTTCACATTGGTATATTTTATATTCTAGCCTACCAGAATTATCTATTTCACATTGGTATATTTTATATTCTAGCCTGCCAGAATTATCTATTTCACATTGGTATATTTTATATTCCGATCTACCAGAATGATTTATTTCACATTGGTATATTTTATATTCCAGTCTACCAGAATGATATATTTCACAATGGTATGTTTTATATTCTAGCCTACCAGAATGATTTATTTCACATTGGTATATTTTATATTCTAGCCTACCAGAATGATCTATTTCACAATGGTATATTTTATATTCTAGCCTACCAGAATTATCTATTTCACATTGGTATATTTTATAGTTTAGCCTACCAGAATTATCTATTTCACATTGGTATATTTTATATTCCAACCTACCAGAATGATTTATTTCACATTGGTATATTTTATATTCCAGTCTACCAGAATGATCTATTTCACAATGGTATATTTTATATTCTAGCCTACCAGAATGATCTATTTCACAATGGTATATTTTATATTCTAGCCTACCAGAATGATCTATTTCACATTGGTATATTTTATATTCTAGCCTATCAGAATTATCTATTTCACATTGGTATATTTTATATTCCAACCTACCAGAATGATTTATTTCACATTGGTATATGTTATATTCCAGTCTACCAGAATGATCTATTTCACAATGGTATATTTTATATTCTAGCCTACCAGAATTATCTATTTCACATTGGTATATTTTATATTCCAACCTACCAGAATGATTTATTTCACATTGGTATATTTTATATTCCAGTCTACCAGAATGATCTATTTCACAATGGTATATTTTATATTCTAGCCTACCAGAATGATCTATTTCACATTGGTATATTTTATATTCCAACCTACCAGAATGATTTATTTCACATTGGTATATTTTATATTCCAGTCTACCAGAATGATCTATTTCACAATGGTATATTTTATATTCTAGCCTACCAGAATGATCTATTTCACAATGGTATATTTTATATTCTAGCCTACCAGAATGATCTATTTCACATTGGTATATTTTATATTCCAGTCTACCAGAATGATCTATTTCACATTGGTCTATTTTATATTCTAGCCTACCAGAATGATCTATTTCACATTGGTATATTTTATATTCTAGCCTACCAGAATGATCTACTTCGCATTGGTATATTATATATTCTAGCCTACCAGAATGATCTACTTCAGATTGGTATATTTTATATTCCAGTCTACCAGAATGATATATTTCACATTGGTATATTTTATATTCCAGTCTACCAGAATGATCTATTTCACAATGGTATATTTTATATTCTCGCCTACCAGAATGATCTATTTCACAATGGTATATTTTATATTCTAGCCTACCAGAATGATCTACTTCGCATTGATATATTTTATATTCTAGCCTACCAGAATGATCTATTTCACATTGGTATATTTTATATTCTAGCCTACCAGAATGATCTACTTCACATTGGTATATTTTATATTCTAGCCTACCAGAATGATCTACTTCGCATTGATATATTTTATATTCTAGCCTACCAGAATGATCTATTTCACATTGGTATATTTTATATTCTAGCCTACCAGAATGATCTACTTCGCATTGGTATATTTTATATTCTAGCCTACCAGAATGATCTATTTCACATTGGTATATTTTATATTCTAGCCTACCAGAATGATCTATTTCACATTGGTATATTTTATATTCTAGCCTACCAGAATGATCTACTTCGCATTGGTATATTTTATATTCTAGCCTACCAGAATGATCTATTTCACGTTGGTATATTTTATATTCTAGCCTACCAGAATGATCTATTTCCTATTGGTATATTTTATATTCTAGCCTACCAGAATGATCTACTTCACATTGGCATATTTGATATTCTAGCCTACCAGAATGATCTATTTCACTTGGATTTTTATATTCTAGCCTACCAGAATGATCTATTTCACATTGGTATATTTGATATTCTAGCCTACCAGAATTATCTATTTCACATTGGTATATTTTATATTCTAGCCTACAAGAATTATCTATTTCACATTGGTATATTTTATATTCCAACCTACCAGAATGATTTATTTCACATTGGTATATTTTATATTCCAGTCTACCAGAATGATCTATTTCACATTGGTATATTTTATATTCCAGCCTACCAGAATGATCTATTTCACATTGGTATATTTTTATATTCTAGCCTACCAGAATGATTTATTTCACATTGGTATATTTTATATTCCAGTCTATCAGAATGATCTATTTCACATTGGTATATTTTATATTCTAGCCTACCAGAATGATCTATTTCACATTGGTATATTTTTATATTCTAGCCTACCAGAATGATCTATTTCACATTGGTATATTTTATATTCCAGTCTACCAGAATGATCTAATTCACACTGGTATATTTGGTTTAGGTTGGTGGGAGTTGACACTATGGTATTGTACAAATATAAAAAAGTATTAGTAATTAGGAAAAGTAATTATTTTTCTGGTGAAGACGAGCATGATGAGCTTGAGCAACCAAGTCGGTGTTTTGTAAATAAATTAAATATAAACTTGATTGGGCGTTGTTGACCCCCCCCCCCTCCTGCATACACACACACGTCCGCTGAGGTTTGTCTGAACGCTTATATATTATTCCTCACTTAGGGGGTACAGTTTAATAGGTCAAATGCACTGAACAGGGTGATGACTGTACACACGTACTGATGACGTCAAACAACGTGGTTGTATTTCTTATATGTGAGCTCGTTTCATCAATAATAAGTATGATATTGTGTTATCGGGGACACGGTAAAACCGCAGATAAAATAGACTCTTTGCCATGGATAGATGAGGTTAGGGCTTGTACGCAGTGATGACGTTAGAATAAGACGAATCACTGCATATTGATGTCGTACATATACGCCGGGATTACTTATCGAGCAATAGTTTCGTATCAAAGACGTATGAAAAATAGAATGTCATCACAATCTCACCAGCTTCCCCCAGCAGTGTTCTTCCAATTGCGTCACGTCACTTTCCACACGATCGCTTCAATTGTGTCATAGTTAAAAACTATTTTAGCCAACATATAGGTTATTACTACGTATCCTTTTACTACCGACCTATCAGGTTTATAATAGTTGGGCGATTGCGTCATCGTGTATAATACGTACCACCAGAAGAAGTGCATTGTTCCAAAAAGTTAAAGCCATTTTTAATAAAAAGCAGATCATTATTGGTAAAACGATTAGCAGGGGTGTTGTTTAGACGGGACCATCTGTCTACATAATAGTATTTAAAGCAGTGATGATATAGAATGATTCTATCGTCAGATAAATTATTGTACTTCTGACTCTGATCGCTCGATATCGCAACAGAGAAAATCTTCCCTCCGTGCACAAAGGTGTACAAGACATGAAGGGAATACGTCACAGACTCTTATGAAAATCAGATTTATTTATTATTATTATTTTATTTATCAGGGTTATTGTGTAATACTATTCTATATCTCTGAAAATCAAAACTATGACTCTGAATTAAACATATGTTATACCCCCGTCCGTACCATGTTTAATATTTCCACAAAACACGATGGAAAAGAAACAGTGAATTATGTCATATTGCACCTGCTGGAGCAGGTCAGTCAGTCAATGGAGTGAAGCCATTAAACGACTTCCGAATATTAACGATGTTGGAAAGTACTTCAATTTGAAAAGAGCGCTCCCATAACTAATGCCCATCACGGTGGCAGACCTCCTTCTAAGGTCTATGTATATACACATATGCACGACAATAGAACCAAAGCATTGTTACAACAAACATAAATATTGGACAAACAGCCGACATAATGAATATTTAATTATTGTGGTCGTGTGACCTTGACGAAGTGCAAGGTTATGTTATTATTGGGTAAAATTGTATTCACCAAGTTAGGTCCTTCCTAATTGAAGTGAGAGGAGAATTGTCTTCATTATGTAAACTACATCCGGGTTCCCATACGCCAATTAACAGCGGCGAGACTAATTGTGTGTGATTTTATTTGTCTGCGTGTCTCTATTGATACCGCGTACGTGTCCTTGTCACCAATTATTTATGTGCATAGTCCCTCAGCCTCCCTTTATAATAAGATTTCAAGACAGGAATACTCAAACAAAAGTTAAGAAGGCAAGTACTTATTATTGTTCAAGCTGAGCAGACCAATAAGCAAGACAAACATGGTCTCTCGCAAAGGGTCACGATAGTCCGTACTGCGCATGCCTAACCCATTTCCCAAAAGATGAATCACACCCTGAAATTAATTTCACGTGCCTGTTTGATTAAGCTTATTTTCATGATTGATTTGTACTAGCGAAAAAAAATGTATTGTACATATAAATATTAATGTATTTATTTTACAATGTATATTGCAATTTTAAGCTTGACACCCGTGCAATACCGCCTATCGGCGCCTCTTTGCCTGTTTGAATACAATTATGTAAATGTGTACTGGCTCGGCATAACGTGCATATCATTAACACCGTTGTACGCAGTCCATTGAGAAAAATGAAAGAGAGCTGCATCCCGCGAACCGATACATTTAGAAGCGAATGCCGGATAAATTTTGCCTAATGTATTTATCAGACATGATACGTTGTTGAGGCACTATAATGCACTTGTAATATATTAAATTGGGAGACAGTGGGTATGTTGCATGTCCGTCTGTGAGCGTGTATTGATTGGGGTGTGTGCGACGTTCATCATGGCGACCGTCAAACAACGCACAATACACCGATCGCTATATGGGCGAATTACAGTGTGTGTATATTCTCTCCGGCTACACAGCCTTCCACAAATTTGCCCTGTATTTTATTTTATTTTATTTTATTTTACTTTTATGTTATTTATATAATTTATATATTTGCCTTTAGAGTAACGTATGTATTAATAGTTTGTAATGAAACATGCGCTGTTTTCAGGGTCGGCGTACCTCGTCTGCCTATTGATCATCCCCCGGTGGGGCCCGCAAAGGTTTTTTTTTATGCAACGCATGCTAGCTCGTCGACCTGCTCTTTTGAGCAACGCCTAGACTGCATGTGTTGGTTACCCCAGATACGGTACTGTTTACGATATCAAACGCAAATACCCCACAGTACCACTTCTAAATCATTTTATTGACAACCCACCCCCTCAAAAGAAACCCAGTATTTGACGTCGTTCTAGGAATAAATAAATACCACGATAATGCACGCAAGTAGATTTAATAATAACCCCCACTACATGTGAAACCAGCCGAATTTCGCCACGAGACTGTTTTACGGAATTTAAATATTAAATATGTGATAATTAAGATGCCGGTACCGGTATTTACTGAAATACACGTATATACACGCAGTGTGTGCTTTGTATTCTGAAATCACATTGTTTTATTATACGATTCATGTAAGCTACGTGAACTTGTACCTTGCACGGCATGTCATTACCTATCTACAATTAATCGAGTTACACACAGCTAGAATTATTTTAGGAAAATACGGGTAGAAGATTGTTTTTAGCACTGACCTCTCTCTCCTTGTCTCCGTACTCGACTTTGAGCACCTCCATTGCACGGAGCATAGCTACCATTGATTGCAAGGTATTACTGAACACAACCGGTTTGTATTGTTTCAAATCCTCGATCGTAAATCCGTCTTCGTGGATAATCCTGACACGTATGGATTGAAAAAAAAATAACACAGGGAACGTGTGAGTAGTGACTGACCCTAAAACATATTTTATCCAAAATGGCTAACATTTAGATAATGCGGCTGACGGGTGTTATCCCTTCGGCTACACCACACACTAATGTAATTAAATACTATATCTATTAGGGAGAAAAATCATTCATATACAAACGATACGGAGTTGCAATGGTGGTGTTAAAGTCTGGACGGTCGTATCAACAATTAATATAATGGGGCCCTATGTTACTGGGTTGTGTGTGTATACACACGGATGATGCCGTACACAATTTCATTATTTATTTGTATTTTAATCATGGGAAAACAACGGATGAGAATTATGAAATAAAATGGGACGAGACTTACTTCATTTGTTTAACTATGGTGCTTTTCCCGGACTCACCAGCCCCTGAAAGACAAAGAGAAAAACATAGAAGAGCTTTTTTTATCAGAGATGACAGGCATATACTCTAATTCATCCGGCATAATTCATCTTCCAATATGGTTGCCTTTATATGGCGGCTGACTAGCAAGATGCACATCTCATCCTCAACACATCGTCAAAGGGTGGATCACGCCATATTGAGATTTTTTTTAAAAAAATATTCCATTGATTATTTTACGTATATTCTCCTTACCTAATAAAAGCAATTTGATATCTTTAGCTGCATTAATTCCATCTTCCTTTAGATTCTTTTCAATTTGCCGGCTTCGTTCTACTGCGGCTCTTTCCTCGGCGCTCATAGTACAACCCATGATGGTGTTACAGTCTCCTTAATCCTCCCCAATCGATGTCCGTTTTCAGGCTTACCTCGGACAGATAGTAAGCCGAAGATTCCCTGACCGCTCCTCGTCGATCGCTGCCTCGTACTCCGATTCAAATATCCAATTTTCAGACGGACAAATATCGTCCTTTTTCATCTACGTAAGGGAGCAGTGGAGACAGCGGAGGCAGCGGAGTGCAGCGTTCGAATTCAATTATGCGGCGGTCCAATCATAGTAGCCATTGCTATAATGAGGTGAATCAAGCGCCCCATTTGCATTCGGTGGCCCTTGCTGATGACGTCACAGTTTATACACAAAGGCACGTACATAATACGATGTAAACTCAGGTGCACGCTTACGGGAGAAAAAAAACATACTGTATACACCACATTTGTTATGTTCTGTATTCAGATAATAATAAATATATTTTTAAAATGCAGAAAACAAGTTGATTTCATTGATGCGGTCCATTGAAAAGAAACTCATCTCATTTTGAATGTTTGAAAAATAGGAGAAAGTTAACAGATAAACGAGCAACGAAGTCATCATCGTGGCTAATATTGAAATGTCTATTATTTTCCCTAACTTTGTAAGCAATGGTTATTAACCGGCGCGCAGTTATCGCGTTACCGAGTTAGCAATATCTTTCAACTTAAACAAGCTCGATATCAAATCTACCTGAATTGCCATAAGAGAAGAGCCTGAAGAGGAAAAATGGGACGAGCGCCCTCAAATACATGCGTAAAAAAGAAAAACTAATAAACTAATTAAATTCGTGAAACACAAAATGTAATACAGGATTGATACCAAGTATATTAGTAAGTCAAGTCTTTGATACAAAAAATAAACTACAAGTTATTTGCAATTACACATGTGTCATAATCCATCGAGTCCGGGGGGGTAGGTATGTATGTGTGTGCCAATCGCCAGTGCACAGTCCCTGACACCGATGTTGGAGACTGTGGTCGGCGACGCTTTGTGCAACCGATACAACTTTTCCTAAGCGTTTGTGGATTTACCAAAACATCTCGTTCAAACCTCGCGACGCTTAGCTTGTGACGAGCCTTTGTTATTAAGATTTTGGAGAAGGTGCCGCAACAAATGTAATGAGTTCATTGACCCCGTTTCATGTATGTCGTGAACTTGAGCGGGTGTTAATTGTAAGAACGTTACCACGCTTTCATAATTAACGTGCTTCGTATATTTTAATTAGTTTTTAATTTTCTTTTTGTAAGACCCTTTTATCCTTTCCTAAGGATTGTATGTGTCTAATAAATATAACTACGAATGACTATATTAGTATTTTCGCGATAGAAATATCACATCTGTGTACACATGATCGAGTGAACATAACGTTTTATGTTTTCTCTAATTACTATTATTCGAGTGGGGCAAACTTTTCAGAGAATATCACCGAGTACCACAAATAAGATAGCAAGCCTGTCCACTCGAGTATTATTACATTTATCTTCAATCAAATAGTCCGATTTTATTAAGCCGCCGTAATACATTTCTGTAGTGTGAAGTAGTTTGTTTGTCAATTTCCTCTCCATGCTTTAATTATTTATATTTTTTTAATAAACATCACTCAACATTTTACTGTGACGCCCTTGCTAAGCATTGTGTTTCACGCTTAGGGATATTCGTGTACTTATTTATCGTTTCTCATATTATTTATTCATGTTCCATTATTACATTACTCGGCCATAGTCATTCGGATATATGCGCGGATCAATACTGACGTCAACGATGACATCATCACTTCTGGTTTCATATTATATGAACATATGAATGATTGAACAAATAGGTAAAGTTAATATATTAGTAAAGATTCCATTCGGAACATTTCTGAGTACTAGTATTATACGGATATCTGGCAGAATAAAATACTGTTTTTTTTTTCGGTCAAAGACGAATCCGAAAGTGGTCATCATGGGATAGGCTTTCAATCGAACCATTTCATTGGATGGGGTAGGTTCAATTACATAAGTGACAATTTTTGCATGAATTCAAGTGGCGAATTGTACAGAACTGTCGAATATTACATAAGCGTATACAAATTATCAAAATGCACTTGCCTTCTTGTAAGTTCACTTTCACCACCTCCGTCCAGTTTATGTTGGACATTACGCTTAGTGAATATTTTTGTTAACTTTAAAAAGGTAATAACTTAAATTGGTATTTTTAATAGCATGTTTAACTTGTTTTTGATGTTTCATCGTCTTCATAAAAAATGAGTAGGTGAAAGTTCATTTAAAAAATGGTCTGACAGGAAACATATAAAAGAACATTTAAAAGTCGAGTTTTCATAACGCGATTAATCAAAACTCCTCACTCTGAGTCAGATTCATAACGCTCATTGCGAAATACGTAGTAACGTGAAGCAAGTCAATAATAAATGCCACAAGTAAACGCGCCACGAATGCAACACACGTTTAACTTTTATTTTAATCACAGGAACTATAGTCAAATTGTTGCACTCTTCATCGTAGGTAGTATATGTCGCATCTTCTAACCAATAACACCACTAATACTCAATGGGTGGTTGTACTATTTAATACGTTCACGTTTTTTTGTTTGTGTTTTTTTTTTTTGTATTTAAACGTGTTCCTCGGCAACAAATCGGAATAGATCCCACGCACATGTGTCCCTATTGCGTACGTTGCTTATAGGCACAAGCGTAATCTCAATATTTAGAGGGGGCGTTTCTGGTGCACCCCACTAATATTACCGGCAAATTGCAATCATATAATGACGTCATTGTAAAAGTCTGTACCCCCTAGTCAGATACAGCGGAAATCGATTCAGCTCGACAGTTTAACATGAGCAGCATGCAACTTTTAGTTTTTGTTTGGTGATTTATTGAAACAATAATTGCAAGAAGCTTATCAAAGGCGCAGTCGATAAGATTCGAACTAACTGGTAGCGCGTGTTTCTGACACCGGGCGATGACGAGCTAATGTACTATCTTCCTGCATTTAGAACAATCGACGTCAACCAAGTATATAATAATGCTCGGCATTATATAATGGTCCATACATTGTTTATTTTGGCCCATCATTTAATATGGGCAAGCCAGGGCTTAAAAACAAAATTTGATAGTAGGCATTTCTCACAGGCATATAAATTAACAATACAAATGGTCACTGTCACTCTCACTGTCTTACAGTACTAGAACTGCGTTGATTTTCGCTGTCTACTTCTGACCGTTTGAACATCGTAAATTATGCTTTCTGGTCAATCACAGTAATATTTGTATACGCGGTTAGCTCACGTCACTACAGAGCCGTATCATCTCGTTCATATCTTTCACGCTTGTAACGCCATCCATTATGTCTTGTGACAGATGACAAATTTGACGTTATTGGGCAATTATTTACTCTTTCCAGCAAATTGTAAGTCGCATTTTCAAATAATGATTTGACAATACTTAAAATACTAAAAATGACAACTCCATTCAGAATCGCTTGTACCAAATATAAAGCAGCGCGGAAAGTAATTTGGTGCTTTTGAAAGGCGAATATTAACTGCATCCCGCGAAACACGGTTGCACACATACTTATGGTACAAATAGGGCGCAAAACATTAACACTAGGAATCAGTTTTTAGTGATTGCATCGCACCTGCTGATGTAGCCTCCCGGGGGTGTATACGCGTTGATTGGACCAGGTTATGCGGTCGACGCGTGGACGTTCCAATAAGATGACAACCGCCCTCAGGGTCTTTATGCAGTGTAACCGAAGTAAAGCCTAGTATTACGTCACGATTGCGTCACAGTCACGGAAATCTCAGAAACTACGTGAGTTTGCCTGATCTTTTGGTGGTGATATTATGATATTATGCCGTTAGTTTTCTTTTTAAATTTGTTCGTAACATATTGAATGCCAACTAGCTTCATCGTACTTTATTTCAAATTCGCGTTAATATCACTACTGTAAATTACTTTATTTTCGCTTGGTTCAGTGAAAATAAAATCCAGCGAATATACATTTTTTTCTATATTTTACATTCAACTCGTCAAATATCAGTGAAAATAAATTCCATACAAAACACCCGAAGATTCTTTTTAGCGAAAATTAATTCCAGCTAAATAAAGTATTTTACTAGTATTTGTACATCAATCAGTCCAGTTAATAATGGGTATTACGTCATTAGTGGCAATGACAATGACTTTCAGTAATTGTCTATATATCATACACTGTTTTCTCGATGAATGGCATTTAAAATATGTTCTATTAGCTCCGTGCCCCGAGTTCTGGTCAATATGACGAACAATGGCTTGTTACCTCCCAATATGTGCTTATTGTATTTTCATCAGTTAGTACTTCAACACCTTGGCAGAATACCGCGAGTAAAATGGATGTACCAATAGGTTCGTCATGGAATTGAAAATGTTAGTTTTAAGCACGTGTACCATTCTTAAAAAGACAACGTGGATACAACTTTGAGTATGTTTGAACTCAATAGGATAGGAAAAATCGTGATTGGTATTCATTTAAAAATGATTTTTTTTTTTTACGTATATGTAAATTCCGGACACACGTGCATGAGAGTTTTTCAATATTTTATCGAGCAAAGACTGTTTTGTTTGGCACAACAAATTGTCAAATTGCATCTTTTAAGCTGCGTCTTAATAAAATGTTCCATTACACACGAACGGGACGATTAATAATCACTTTACCAATTAAAAGCAATTGTAAATATAACATATTTATAAATGACATTATTCAAACTCACACTGTTTATGAGATGAGTTAAACTTCTTTAATATAGGTAATTTATTTAATAACATTAATTTTACAAATCTATACAATGAAACAATGGTGTACATTGGTAATACATTTTTACATCTTTACATAAAGTTAATATGTGTTGACAAAATTATTTCAATAAATTTACACTCCGGTGGATTAAAGTAAAAAAAGAATAGAGCAACGTAAATATGCTAAAATTAGAATATTGACATGAACTGTCGCACAAGACAATTATTTTTCAGGTTCAGGGGACATTTGCAATTCTCGATATGATTATAATTTGACGAGAGTACTTACTCTCGAACCTCGTTCAAGTTAGCAGCAAACTTTTACAAAAAAATATTTGATTTTAAGAATTTCCTGAATTTCCCACACCTCATATGAATTGCACATGATGAGAAGGTGTTTACCAGACTAACCCAAGTTGGGCTTAACCTAAAACGAGAATGTTCAATATTTAATAAGAGCATACTAGTATTGTAATATTTTCTTGGATATCATTTTCAAAAGTTTGGTCCAGTACTTTATGCACCTAAAAGTTGTTTAAAAAAATACTGGTAGTATCTTACCGTCCTGGTCAACTAAACCGACAGCATTTGTATAGAGTTTCTTGATACACCTGGGAAAACACGACATGCAAACATTGCACACTTTCCAGATATATTCGTCTACTAAGCGGGTGTTTTTGTTATTTCTGACAAATTCAATCTCTTTAAAAACAAAATTTGTAATACGAAACTACTTCCACCCTCTCTACGTTATTTATTCATTTTTCTAAACCTAAATTTCTTTCTATAATTTCACTTGTTTAATTGTTATTCTGCTCACAATACATGCCAACAAACTTAAACAAAATACATTAAAAATAATGTCACCAATAAATAAATAAATAAATAAATAAATAAATAGTTCGACAATTGTTTGTTTTTTATTAAATCAGCTAAAAAAAAAAGTGTCTGGACACTCAAATAAAGCCACAGACAATATAACCGTGCATTATTATAAACAATGTACAAACAATGTGGTTGTCATTCAAGCTCAGCAGCCAATCAGCGACGGCTTTACACTCAGATGACAAATTCGGTTTCAAATACCCCAGGAAAGTGTTCTATGTTCTTCGTGTAATTAGGTGTTCGTATGCAAGGGATTTTTCCACACGAAAACGCCAAATTCGGCCGAATTTTGTTATCGACTGGTTTAATATAACCCCAACGGATCGCATTTTTGTCCAGATTTGTAGGAATCTGAAAAACGCATTTCACAACTTGTCTCTTATTTAGTTTTATGCTGCATTCAAGACGGCGGCTACCATATAGTAAATATCGTATTTATTTTATTATCACGTGTGCGCCAGCTTACTGTGCCCCCGGAGTGAGTAAATGTGGTTATCACACTCTCTGTCTCGTCGTTAACACGCATATTTGGGGATTTAATCCGGGGTTCGAATCTCACGCATGACCAAATATACACTGATACTGATGAACGGACTCCCATGACGCGCAATGCTTCTTTATGAACTTGTCCGAAACGATCGCCGTAATCCAACGTTTCTATAAATCGCACCCTCTAGTGTCAAAGCTCGCCTATGACGTAAATGTTATTGTTTTCATCGACCGGTATATGAAAAATTGTATTTACCACAGACATTACCATATTCTTGATGACGAACAACTACACAACCAAACGAACAGCACTGCCTTCACTCAATACATCATTTCGACGTCAGAGAAGCGGAATTTATTTTAATGATATATCTTTCATCACTTTAGTAAAAGGAAAACAGTTTTAAACAACAATAAGTTGGGCATTATGACATGTGATGGGACACAGGGACTGTGGATGGGACTATGTTGTTGCACTGAGATTCAGAGCGATTAGATATTTGTTTAAGAGCAAATGCGGCTCCTAATGATATCAGAAAAACAGCTGTTGAGTAGATCATAAATTGAGCAAGTATGTGATCCAACGCATTCCTAAATCAAATTAGATATGTGACTTTAAGTTAGTGCTGAAACCCTAATATTTGTCTAAAATGTACAATTGCCACCAACTTGCCACTGTCGTGCTGTTCCTGGGTAACTCCAGAGTCGATCTCATCTGGTAGACAGGGCAGAAAAGACTTATTTCATTATTCGTGTCTGGTGGTTATAGAAGTAATCTGTTCGATGGAGCCTACTGTAATGCCTAACATATCTTGCAGTGAAGCTCTGAAAACAAAAACAAAAAAAAGAATTTTCTTCTCCTAACAGTTCGGAGACATATTGTTAACATACTAATAGTACTTGGTTACATAAAAAATGCAGGAGAATCAACTAACGATCAAAAGATCGAAAAGCGAGGTTAGAAGCAAACCTCATTAAAGCGGGGGAGTCGTCACCTGCGCATGCGTCAGATGGCCATAGCGTGTCATTGTTTACAAACAAGCGTCTACCCATGAGCCTTTGCGTTTTTAGTGTGTGTTGTTATCGTCGCTTGGAACTCAATTCCCACGCGTGCGCAGGTGACAACCCTCCCGCTTTCACTCTCCACTCAAATGCGTCAATACAATAGTTATTAACACCACCACGGTTACTAACCGTGACACCACGGGAATCAGCGATAACAACTTGCGTTAAAACCCCGGGGTTAAAACGCTGCTTTCATTTTTGTACTGAGAAACCGTAGTAACTGATCAACTCAAAGGAGGTGTTAATAAATCAATTTCGTAAAATTTGGTGGCCATACAGAAATACTCAATAGCTTCGTAGTACACCATAGTAGTATTTTAAATCATGGTTTAGTAAATACATGTAGAAGAGTTTTACAAAGTCAAGTTTTCTGCACCGACACTTCTGTGAATGTACCTCGGCTTATTTCAACACCTGTATATCATGGAAAACACTGGTCCAATAAATGTGGTCATGAGACAGATTACCCTACGGTAATTATAATGTACTGTTGTTATGTGTTGACTCATGAACACACGAAACATCAAAGTAACCGGAGAGCTTTCATGTTTAACTTCTTGTTTGTTCCGCCATTTTCAGTTAGCAACGGCACTACTTTTTACATATCAAAACAAAAGTCTTATTATGACGCATGCAATAAAATAGTTCCAAAAACGTCACAACTGTGTATAGAACAGAATAGAATGCTCTAATTTGTGACCATGTTGGATTTATACTCATTTTAAATACAACCATCACAACTTGATTCTAGGAAAGGCTAGAGATCCAATACAATGGTTCATTATGTTAGATCACTACAATTTCCTCTGCCCCATGCAGTGCTGACCTAACCCAACTCACACAAATTTGCAGGGAAGTTAAATCCGCATCTCAGAAAATAAACACAAAAAACCATATATAAAAATGTTGTGTGAAATATTTATTCATAAAATCTATTGATGCATGGTATTCAGAAAAAAACAAACATTCCTTTCTACCAGGCTCCATCACATCAAAGCACCTATAGGTATCTATAGCAACCTTGTAATATATTTATTCAGTTTTAATACCAATGTCTTGAAAAAACTAAAAACAATAAAAAAAAAACTAATTCTTGAACATCACTCGTTATTTAAGAAATATATTTACATGTTGTATTACTTTGTAATACTTTTTGTATTACTAAAAGAGCACCGCCCTCTATGAAAATAGTGGGTAAACATTTAATGCAGCAATACCTGATAATCAATCACATCTTCCCTAACATAAGACCTGATATCCAATCATATCTTCCCTAACACAAGACCTGATATCCAATCATATCATCCCTATCATAAGCCTGATATCCAATCATATCGTCCCTAATACAATACCTGATAGACTTCTTAACCATCAACTTTCAGGTCAACAACTGTCCCATGTTGTGTACACAATTCATTAATTGAGTAGTTCCTGTCATGAATGAAACATTCCCCCTCTCAATAAATTTTAGAACAAATATGCTGAATAATAATCAACAATCCTAGCACCAACTAATTGAGTTAAATAATAATGCATATTATTATACATCTGTCACCGCTGTACAGTCTTCATGCATACTTTGAAGTATCCTCGTATTAACCTTTGATCAAATTCCCAGAATTAATTATGGTTTAGATGCAACCATTTTTTCGCAGTATGGTATGCATATCATATGACGTATACAACGTCTGTTTACATGCTCACTTTAATCTAGTCACAGTCAGTGAACATTTTTCTGTAAATTATTTTTAAATATTAACGTTAAACCTAAAAATAGATCTGTAATGCTTATACATGTATCACTCTGCTGCTTGCTGATATGTATCTGAACTCTCAAAATTTTTACCTAATTTTATTGTGAAAATTTTCGAAGGAAACATTTTGACAAATGGTAGAGAAAATGCTGAAAACCAAATTGATATAATTAAAGGTACTATAGTGATCACTTTTTGTCTTCATGATTTAATCATCGAATCAAAATGGTTCACATTATTTAACATGTGTTGTATAAATCGCTTAGAACATATAGATGTGCGACTGCGGAATCTGGATCGCAAAATAATTCTTAATGTCATTTGTTCGTCATTGAATTCTAATAACGCTCCCTACTGACAAAAGGCTGTCTTGTCAGAGAATTAATCTAGAGTTATTAAACAGATATGTTATAATAAATTATGAAATGAGGAAGTTTGCTCGTCAAAATAAAAATAATACAATGTACAGTATCATACATCACATTTGCTCTATTAGAAGGGCATTTTAACCACCAGGTCTTATTTATTTTGAACATTATAATATCATATTATTTTGAACATACTAGGGGGTACTTTCCATGTACGCAAGTACATCATGCACAACCAATAGCGCAAATACAATACCTATACACCAGTATTTTGTTTTATACGATCAGAAGATACATATTAACATCAGCCTCAAGCACATGTAGTAACTGGATCTGAGAAACTTGGAAGTATTTCATTTCAGCGAGAGAAACTCTGTTCGTGGTCATTCATGTCCTAAATTATTGTGAAATGCTCAACTGTGTAAGAACAATTAAACCATTGGGTGTATCTTGGAGTAGTCAGAACGTTACACACATGTATGCACACAGCAATACCAGATGGAATACATTCATGATTCATCAGAGATCCGTCATTCGAAATCCTGGCGTTGACTGTAATGGAGGATTCGGCGACTTCTGCATTGTTGGCGGGGATGGTAGTATCATATGCGACCTTGGTGATATCGAAGCTTGAGGCAACGAGGCATGCGGCAGTGTAGATTCCCGAGTAGGTACAGAGTCATAGATTACTCCCTGTATTGGTGGTGACCGTGTTGGTATCGAATGTTGACGTTGCTGGCGGTGGTGGTGGTAATACGGGTATTGCTCCGGTGCTTCAAGGTGAGACGGGATTGGCTGTCCTTGATCTTGAAGTCTGGTAATGTGACAACTATGACATAATAAATGATCCATAAGCGGGTAACACCATTTCTCTGGTTCATCTGTTAATTCAATTCCACAGTCCTGAAGAGAACAGATTACAAATAAAAATTATAAATAAATTATTTCACTTGGAATGTATTCTCAGTACAAGCAACCTGACAGTCGAAATAGCTCCGCTGTCTTCATTATCATGGAACAAGAATCAGTAAAGTGGCATTGTGGTTGACGGTTTCGAACTAGTTGTTGAAAATAACATTTTTCACCAAAAATGACAAAAATATTCACTAAAAATCCAAATTTGCATATTTTGACACAAATTTAACAAATCTGACAGAGGACCATTCAGAAGTACCTTTGGTACAAATATGAATGTAATTGGTCAAGTACTTCTGAAGAAGTAGTCATTTAAAGGGAAAACCTCACGCGGGACAGACGCCGCCGGAGAGACCCCCATACCAACAGCTCCGCTGGGTCATCTGCGATGACAGCGAAGCTAATAAACCAAATTAGAATATTGCACATGATGTAAATTTTTAACTCGATAGCATCAGTTACACTGGAATGAACAACACGAAACATTTGCTGATGCTCCACAAGGTTTCCAATTGCCTACTGGGTAATTCTACTTGCATATTAAAATAGGTTACAGTAACCCCCATTTAATAATTTATCAGCCAAACCTTTTCACTAAGTCAACTTTTGTAACCTTCCATTTAATATAGTTCCAGACATAAAATAATCCGGTGTATAATAAAATGCATCTGTTTTTCCCGTTGTAGAAATTTTAATTCAATGGATGGATGGCAGTAGATCAAAATGAGCAACGGCCTTACAAGTGCCACGTCATTATTGGAAGCGTGTGATCACATCTTAATATAGTTTTGAGTTTCTGTTCTCAAGTAAATTCAATGTTAACACATAACAATTATCATAGCACTGTATGCTGTTTAACAGAGTGAAATCTGTGTGACCTCCAATACACTGAAGAAAATATTTTGAATGTTGTTTTTGTTCAAAATGGAATGTTTGTCCCAAAGATATGTCTGGAAAGGAATACTATAAAGTGTATTTAGTATACAGTCACCTTGGGATGAACCATTATACACTTATAGGAGGATAGGTCATAGATCGAGGCTCAGCTTTGGATTTGTTATGTACGTTTTGTTTTCAACTCCAGAGATTTTGTATTGCATCTAAGATGAAGGGAGGTATTACAAAATAATCAAAAGTGCTCTGCTATCCAATAACATTGTGGTAGTCAAGGCAAGTAATGCACAAGAAGGGAATTTGGTTTTGGCTGTTGAGTATATGTTAATATCTAATTGCTAGCACAGCCATGTTAGTTTACAAGTTAATATTTTACAAAAAATGAAAAAAAATTTCCAATAAAATTGAAAATTAAATTAAGTTTCATCCAATATCACATATCAAAGCAATCAGGTTGGTAGTTTTCAAGAAGTAACAGATGATTGAAAATCATAATAATAATAATAATAATAATAATAATGTTTATTGCATAATCATATCCTTATTTGAATATTGACTCAGAAATAGAAAATTACAATAAAGATGAAAAATTATAATCTATCATATAAGCAGCTCTGGCTCCGTAATTTTTGAATCAAGAGCCATTTAGGGATGAATTAACACACACCATTAAGTGACTAGTAAGCTGAAATTATCACTAACTTGTACAGACAGATCATGATAATTAGAATATTCTCCACAAATCATGCAAATTCAAGCCATCAAGTATGAATGCAACTCTAAAGGTTGGTGGTCACCTCACTGCGCATGTTCGAATTTCATGTAAAAAAACAAATATATTTTACATATTGAACAAGACGCAGCATTACGACCACCACCAGCCTTTAAAGGATAGATACACAGAACGTTACTGACCTCACAGCGATAGCAATCAACGTGGTAATCCTTATTGGTAGATACTACTCTGACAGTTTCGTCGGATCCCTTTAAAAGTGGAAAAAACATAATGTTTAATAAGATGACTGTTTTCGGCATCAATAAAACTTGAATGTTAGTTGTGAAACTACCTATTTCAAACATGTGCAAAACAAAAACACATTTAATATATCTTCAACTATTAAGAACATTATATTTTCATGCATATCGCTTAAATACCATTGTCTTGCGTAACTTTGACCGCATACAATCTCACAATGACAACCATTTGAGATCTCTGTGCAATAGTACAAATTTGATGCCATATCATGAACCCTGTGTCAGTGAACATAGTGCAGTTGGCAGACAGTGCGAGATTCAATTATATGGTGGAGAAGACGAGGACAGCAGGGGGCACAGAAAGATGTATGTACAGCATGCAGACAGAAGAGTTAGCTGGAGATAAGAAATGTAATGAATGAATGAATGAATAAATGCAATATCCAACAATACACTGTATGTGATATGTATATTACGTCAAAGACAAACATTGTCACTAAACCACTCTGTTTTTAAATATGCATACATGCACAGTAAACAAATATAAAAAAAAAAAAAAAAACTTTTTTAAGCGTGATTTTTTAATATTTTATTTTTAATGCAGGAGTTTTTGTTTCCTATAAGTCAGTCAGACAGACAGACAGACAGACAGACAAGTTTAGCCAATCAGAAACAATGTTGGCAGACCATAACTCCATGTGATCAGCAGGTCATTACAAAGCATAATTTCCGAAATGTTCAATACTGTAAAATTACTAACTTTCACCGGGTTAAAATTTCGCTGATTTACCATTTTAGGCATAATCAGTGGGTTTTAAATTCACGGTTTTATTATATAGATAATGTGTTCTATGCTAAATTTTACATATTCACTGGGTTTTAATTTAACGCATTTTCCAGTCAGCGAAATAAGAAAAATTAAAACCCAGTGAATAATTAATCCTTTTACAGTACTTCAATGCCACATGCATCAATTTGATGCTTATTGACTAAAAGACACAAAAGGAAAACCACCAAGGATAATTTCTTCTCGATTCTTTACATATAGCCATGCCAACCTATATGTAAACATCTCAATGCACAATTCCTTGACTACGACAAATAATTTGTCATACTTACTAAAAACTATTAACATTTAACAGTAACGTATATACCTCAGATACTGCCAGACTCTTGTGACATTGAGGAAACGGAAGTGACAAAGTGGAAATATCGAGGGGGAGAGGAAGCGAGAAAGAAGAAAAGAGGACAGTGACGCCAGCTGCACTACTAAGTGCAAAAATAGGAAATACCTGTACCGGTGTGATGGGCTCTCTGCACACTGCACATTTAGGAGCATATTGCCTGGAAGGAAGTGAAACAAAAGAAAGAAACAAAAAGAGAAAAAAAAAGAGCTCTGGTTTTTAGGTTGATCTACTGATTAACAGCCTGTCCTTCTTTCACACCTTTTACAGCATGCTACGTGCAGCGAACTATCGGTAACCCATGAACGCCATAATCGTGTAACATTTTATACATTTTTAAGTATTTAAAAGATTTTCGATCCAAATTTAAAAAAAAAAAAATGATTACATTTAGTTTGTGAAAGAAGATCAAATATGACTTCAACGTTCAAAAAGTTAATAGTGTGGTAATACTAAAACTATCAGTCATGCAATTAGTGATTATAGATAAAATGAAAACATTACCATGGTAACTGAAGATGTTGTATACAGAGTGTGCAAATGATTTAAACATTATGATACATGTAGCTGATGAGAATACACAAAAAAACATTTATTTCACATGCAGAAAAGCACACATTGTTGGATGTATTTGTATATGTCACTTGGTAGAAGAATATATTGATTCTGACTAAGGGTCTCACACTGCAATTAAACTCCCATAGGCAACAATGTAAAAACTTGACACATAGAAGCAATAAGTAAAGTAACTGCAAAATTTTACAACAATAAAAAAGTGTGTCTAGTTTTTTAAATCAAGTATAAACAGCATCATCACAGTCCCAAAAATTTAAGCCACCCTATTACTCATTCTAAATATATCAGTCAACCATTTCAGAGCCAGCTGGTTTTTACTAAAATGTTAATATCAAACCTAAGGCTTTTTAATAAAACTGTTTGAAATATAAGCATGCAATCCCCAGTAAGAAGTTGTTTTCATAGAAGAGAAGATTAAATCTGTGGGTGCCTATGTGAATTCACATCTTGAAAAATTCTAATTATGATGAAGAACCTAAGGTATGTAGATTTATGTATATTTATGTAGCACACAAAAAACAAAAACATGCAAAATACGAGCAAATTCATGCAAATACATGCAAAATACATGCAAAATACATGCAAATTCATGCAAAATTAGGCAAATGCATGCAAATATCATGCAAAGTTAGGCAAATGCATGCAAATATAATGCAAAATTAGGCAAATGCATGCAAATATCATGCAAATACATGCAAATATATTGCAAATACATGTAAATATCATGCAAATACATGTAAATACATGCAAATCTGCAATTTATGCAGACTGATTTGCAACAAAACATTATTGAACTGAATGATAATAAGGGCAACCAAACATATTTTTTGGTTTATTTTTTAAAACAATTCACACAAATGCGAGACCAATTTCAAAATTCAGATAGTGTAGAGCTGAGTAATAGAGCCACGGAGTAGAGACTCACAAATATATCTGCAGGTGCTTGTATGCAAATGGAAATTATTGACACAAGAATAGTGCATTAATTTGCCTCGATGCCATTATGATAGATTTACGTCACACAGCCACGTTTTATAGTCTCCTTCATCACCTGTAATTTGTACATTAAAACCAGGAATCAGGAGCAACAACAATGACTTTAAAAATTTGAAAAAAAAAACGACAATTGATGCTTACTTATGATAATCATTAACACAATAAATCTTGTTGTTTGAATCGATTGTAAATGGCACTCCATCAAGGCACTCATTGCATTCAATACATCGAAAACATCCAGGGTGATAAGAGCGCCCCATAGCTTGTAAGATCTGAAAGGAGAGATGTATAGAGTAGACGTCATTATTGGTTAAGGCGAGAGGGTCGTCAGCTGAACACACGTCCCGAGCGACGATAACAACACACGCTAAAAATGCAAAGGCTCGTGAGTAGATACCTGATGCATGCGCAGGTGACGACTCCCCCAATTTAATGACAATTTGTAAAAAGTTTTTACTGTGATACAGGGGATTCTGTTTAGTATTTATTTTCTTTGACTGTTTGAATTTCTAATAACAGAAAAGAGATAGAGTAGACGTAATCATTGGACGATGACAATTCATACAAGTATTATCTGTTTAGTATTTATTTTCTAACTGCGTTGGAATTGATAATACAGATGTAACTGAATAGATGTAAACAAATAATGTTGAACAGGTCAAAGGTCAGAAAGATTTTTTTTCTCAAATCTGAATAAGGGAAGTAATCTTACCGTTTCCATGATTAGATGACCACAGATTGCACACTTCTCAGCGGTTTGCTGGAATCCAGAATACTGCAACAAAAATACTGTTACTGAACACACTGTAGTGAAGCGATGCGATGCGATGCGATGCGATACATGTTGAACTCATTGTTGTTTAGTCTAAGGTACACCTTAGACTGTATTTAAGCACTGTCAATATGCCATTTTGTAAAGTCCATCACATTCAGCCAAACCGTTTTATCATAACAAATTATAGGTTTTGGGCAAAATTGAAATTTGGTCATGTGAATTTTCCCTTAATGAAACCCATATATTGTAATAGGTGATTTTCCGAACAATTGCGAGATCTCGCGAGATGCATGAAAGACGCGCGTCGAACGTCTGCCGCAAAAATCGAACGATTTGATTTTGAACTAGAATTTCTTTATTTCGCAGCTTACATTGACCGGCCGATCTTCGACAGAGGAATATTGCTTCCGAATACCCTTACTTAATCGAAATTGCCTATCATCAAATGTGGACAGCACATTATTAAGCATGGAAATGTCCCCAAAATACTTTCGTGTTTGTCGAATCCCACGCGATGTTTGACGCGACTACGACGCTATGACCTTTGTTTGTCCTGTTTTTACGTTCGATTTCACGCATAACGCGTGATTCTCGCAGTGTGCGGAAAATGGTCTATTCATTACAATAGAACAGTTTGGCTGACCATGACACAGTAATCCTCACAATTGTTTATGTAATGTAAATTTCCCTTGACTTTAAGTTTACACAAAAACAGAAACACACTGTAATATCAAATTTAATAGAAATGTCAGTTGTTGTGCTGTACCATGTTTGATAAAAATCTCATGTGACGTACATAACACATGTACAATACATTGTTTTTTACTCAAAAAAATTTTTATCAACATGTTTTGTCAGTTTTTTTGTCACTTTACAACCAATGACAACGTATGGTGTTCATTCATAGCAATGAACTGAAAAAGAAAATGCAATTGATGACGGTGAAACGACACGTGACATGACAGAGGGGATGTATATGTAGCTTTCATTTTACTACTTCATACTTTACAATATTACCTAAAACTGTTTGGAGACACAAGACAAATATTGTCATGGCAACACATTGTCACACTTAGAGTAATACTCATTATGAGGGCAACTACACAAATTCAAAATAATTTTTCCAAAATTCTATTTCTGAAATTTATTGCTAGTGTTTTGTTTGTACATTTGCCCATCACACAATTTCTCAAGACATTTTATTAAAATGTTAATTACGTGTATGCCTTCAGGCCCTTGATTTTATCAACCTTTGAATTCAAAACATACCAGGTAATCTTCTTCACAGTAAACTTTTCCATGAACATTGTAGAAGGCTTTTCCTCTTAACGTTCGACCTGTAAAAATACGATAACAAGATAATCCATGCACAGTTGAACCAAGGAAATACATAGAATATATCGAATTTGTGACCCATGTCGTCTTTGCCTTTCTATTTATCACAAGTATGGTATACGCTTCAAAACTATTTTGTCAAAAAAAACAACCACAATCTTAATTAATTTGTGTGTGCCCGAGTTTTTAGTATGTCACATCTGATTTTGATCATATTGAACAAACCAATAGTTACTACATAATCAGTATAGAATATATACCATTCATGTATTTTACTTTTCTGTTTGAAAGACTTTATATACATAATACCATACTAAATCAGTTAACGTAACTGTTTTTTTAAAACTGAAATACAATTTGTTTGGCTAATGATTGCAGAAATGCTTCTGAAATATCCAACACTTTCATGATAGTTGTGCATATGTGCGTCCTTATAGAAGGTCATATTTGTACAATATTGTCACAGCAGATCTCCGGCTACTGCTGGTAATTAAGAATTATTTGTTAAACTATATAGCTTGCTGTTTAGCAAAAATGTGCCGTTAAATACTTTATTTTAGCTGGAATTAATTTTCCCTGATTTGTATGCGAAATATGAGAAAAAAAGGTATATTCGCTGGATATTATTTTTACTGAATCATCACTTCAAGCAAAAATAGCATAAAATAAATTCCAAATATCAAACCTTTAATTTGTCAACGAAAACTGTAATAAATTTTCCCAGCCAAAATTTTAGTGCTATATACGCCAAATTTCATATTTTTCTATAATTTCTTTGTCATATTTAGCTTGTAGCTACAGGTTGTAAAAATTATTCTGCTAATAATTTTGCACATAATGACAATAAAATAGTTTGTTGCTTACCGCATGAACAACAGTTAAAACAGTCGGTGTGATAGAGATTACCCATGGCCTGGCATGCCTGCGCTGTTCCAGTCACAGGATCATTACATTGGTAACAAACCCCTAGAAACGAAAAGATGGTGAAACCGTTATGACAAACCTGAACACATTCAGTAGTATCTAGTTGTAATCTGATTTTATTTTGTAATAGTAATATTTGCAAGCTTGGAAAAATGAAAAAAATGCTGCCAGTGTTCACAGCAGATGTACCTCAAATAGGATAGAAGGACAATTTAGAACACAATTAAAACAATTAATTTGCATATGCTAATTAGCTGTCAAATTGGAACTTTTTTGTCTGCAGTGAATACTAGTTACATCAGTGAAAATTCAACTGGCACTTTTCAGATGTGGGTGCTGTCGACTTTCAACTGGGGTTCTTCAGATGAGGGCACCATTGACTTTCAACTGGGGTTCTTCGGATGAGGGCACCATTGACTTTCAACTGAGACTCTTCAGGCGAGGACGCCACTGACTTTAACTAGAATTATTCCAGCAAACCTCTTTCTTAACTTTTTTCTGTACATGTACGTATGTACATGTACTTATATCTAACGTTTATTTCTCATCTAGAGGCAAACCCCAAACCCAACTAACACACAAGTTTTTTAAATACACTATGATTCAAAGACTCTATATGTGAGCAGGACCTACATTTTATTTCAGAATTTATTGTATGCGAAATCACAATGTTGCCTTACAGACAAAATACATGTATACATGTACATATAATATATTTTAATACAGATTAATTGGAAGTTTATATCTAGATATGTGATGGCCCTTGGTTATTTAAAACATTATTTTTGGTTAGGATGTATCTAAACTAAGCCATATGCATATAACACTCTACAGTTTCCCATGTTAAGTACTTAAAATCAACTTCTGTTGTTGAAACTGATATTTTGATGATGAATATTATTTTGTTATCGTCTATTAAAACATTAGAAGGATTAATATTTTTCCTGCTGGCAGTCGCAGTGTAGGAACAGCCTTGGTTATTAATGTACAACTGTAAAACAAGAAGAGAGACCCACATTGTATTAATTACTCTTCATTTTAAATCAACGCTATCATCAGAACTGCGGATACATCTCTTTCTGCCCTCTCATTGGTCTTTACACTATGCATCTCATACGCAGTTAAAAACATAAAACATTGCCCCCGGCCAAGTACTAGTATTAACGTTGTAACAAATATTTAAAATATAACAAATATTTAAAATATTTAAAATATGATTAAAATTTAAGACAAACATTTTTCTAAAAAAATTGGAAAATTGAGTGGCTTTATTTGAAAAATGATAAAATTGGACTTTAACATTCCTATATAGTTTTTATCTCAAAAACACAAACCACAAATTTAGCTGGAAAAGTGTACAGTTTTGAGTAAACCATCTTAAACATTCAGTGTTTGCAAAAAGTCTAATTTGAATATAAAATTTGGCAAATAAAATACAATACCAATCAATATGTATATATAATATGTACTTTATTATCACTATTAATGCTAAAATAACGCGTTTATCACATGAATAGGTAGAAAATAAATACAAAAGCTTGGGTGAAAAGTAAAACGTATGGTACTCAGTAAGACCAAAAGACCACTGGGAAAAACCGACTAACAGTCAACAACCAAACCAGCTTTTTTTCTATTGTCACGAGATACCATATGCTACTAAAGTCAGTATCAGTGGCATAAAAAGAGTATTCAAAAATATTAAAATAAAATTACAGTGTGGCACATTTTGTTGTGAATAGTACAACAGGTTGTTATGAGCCACAAATCTATTTATAGTTTTCAAAAATGACTGTTCACATAATTTAGGTAAAAATAGATACCGGTACATGTAGCAGAAACTTGGAAGGATTTTATACACCCCTTTCTCTATTAGGTCACACTGATTTAATATTATGGATGACATCCTCTGGAGACCCAAAAACTAATGCGAGAGGGCGAAAAAAAAAAATCCTGCAAAAATAAAAAAAATTCTGCTAAAACCACAGGACTACGGAGCTGGTATTACGAATTGAACCAAAGAACAGAGTGTAACAAAAAAATAACAAGAAGTCTTTATTTGTAGGAGGCACATGTTGATGTACACCTCTCGTACTGTAGTACTGTCACAGGTATAACCATTTCAGACAAGCTCTAGTACATGTAGTCATGATGAAGTACCTTCAGTCAGAAACACTGCATTCAAGGTACAGCATGAACACCATTTTCAGTACAAGTCAAGGCAGAATGTACACATGTACATATCACTACTTTATGACAATAACTAACAAAACATTGCACTGTGTGTGCAAGCAAATTATCCGAATCAGAAAATGAAAAAAATAAATAAGAAGAAAATTTTCTTCACCTCGAAAGCCTATTCGACCGAGGAACTTTCTCTGCTTTCTTTGCAGTTTTGTCAACTTCAATGCTAACAAAACAACCGAACTGACTTGTCGCCTGACCAACTTTTAGGCCACCATACACCTCCACTCCTCTCCCATTTCTCTCATCGTTGCAGAAGAAACGCGGGATAGCCACTCTGGACAATATGTCCTTAAAGTTGTCTGGACGAAACTCGCTTTCCGCTACCAATCTCTCGTATAGCTGTGTAAACGTCACATCTCCCTGGCCGACGTCAATTGCGTACCAGTCTACAACAATCCCTCCGTTTTTCCTCTGAACTTTATGCTCACGTATTTTGGTGGCGTGGTCGCCATGTTGGAATCATTTACGACAAAATTGGCATGTTTTGAGGTAGTCCAAAACAAGTTTTACGACAAGCCGGCGCTTTGTGACAATATGAGTTGGCAAGTTCCGGACAGAAAACCGATCTGTGGAGACTCGTCGTCCGAGATTTTTTTTGAGAACAGGCGAAAACTAATGTGCGCGTGGATGTCATCCATAAAATTAAGTCGGTGTGGCCTTAACTTGTTTTGGAAAGTTCCAAATGCGTATCTTTTCAGTAGTTTTCTGAAATGCAGTGAAACTTTGTAAGTGCTTGTTGTTTGTGTTGAATTTGACAACACTATGTGTTCATCAATTAGCAAAGGATGAGACCCATATTCTACTGTGAAATAATTTATTTTAGCTGGAATAAATTTTCGCTGAAGAAGCTTTTTGGGAGTTTTGTATGGAATTTATTTTCACCGATTTTTGACGATTTGAATGTAAAATATATGAAGAAAGTATATTCGCTGGATTTTATTTTCACTGAATCACCCCTTCAGCAAAAACATTGAAATTAAATTCCGAGCAAAAATAAAGTATTTTACAGTAAAAATTTGGTGTTGATATTATCAACCAATAAAAATATGATTGGAACGACAGGGTTCTCGCAGATGTTTCATCGCATTTGTTTCAAAAAACATCATTAATTAAGAATTGCGTAATTATTCATGAAATTAGTAAACAAAAAATTATCCCAACAATTATCAGTCATTTAACTACACACACAGTATGCATGTATGTTTCAACGTATTTATGAAAATAGTTGAGAAAATAGTCAAGAAACATGCAGAAATTATTATTATTATATTAATTATTATGCAAATTACCAAATTACTATGTAGAGATTTGTACACTAAAATCTAATCAGGTTTGGGGTTCTTTTGCATACTAAATTTCATTCTAATCTATCCATTCACAAACATTGGCTTGACATGAGCATCCTTTTGTGAACTAGAATCCAATAAAACAACACAACTGTAATTATTT